CGAACCAAACCTCCACTACCGAAGTAAATTCGGTACAGAATAATGAATTGGCTCCTCGACTAAAGTCGCCAATTCACTACATTCAATTAAGGGTGCTCTATCAACCTAGGCAGATATTCTCTTTCTAGGTTAAAGCATAAACAACAGGAATTTGATCAGGATTCATGCCATTCAATCATTCAAACCTCAATTGAATATAATCAAATCATAGAATCTATACTTGGGTTCATACAATCGGACCTAACATACAAATCTAGGGTTCTCCATACCCAGATGAATGGGAAAACTACTCCATGGAGAGAGAAGCAAAAGTAGGTTCAGATGCAGAATTCATGCTGTGAAGGATGAGAATCTACTCCTGGTCGTCAATCGGCACTTCTCCAAGTGTAAACCGAGCTACAATGGTGAGGAAGATCAAGCTAGGGCACTTGGGAACTCTGGTCCATCGCTCTCTCTCTCTCTCTCTCTCTCTCTCTCTCTCTCTCTACGAATCGCTTTCTTTCTCTAAAACTCGGCACCCTCTTCTCCTCTGCTGAAAATTGGGTTAAAACCAGAAAATCCCGACTCACACGGCCGTGTGACATCCCCAACTGCCCATGTGAGTTGTGCAAACTGCAGCATTTTGATAAGTGGCTTCAGGCTTCCTACACGGCCACGACCCACACGGCCGTGTGGCTTCCCAGGGTGCCCGTGTGAGTTCCCTGGAATTTCCACACGGCCATCAGGGGTCCCCTACACGGCCGTGTCGCTTTTAGGCATGCCCGTGTGGCTTCTCAGCTTCTCGCCAAACGTCCAAACTTCGTACAATCGACCCCGAACTCGTTCCTAAACCTTCATTCACGTACTAGGACCTGAAATATCACAAACAAGAACAACCTAGCGTGAAATCGGCCTAAAACGCAAGAATCGACATCTCAAACGGCTCAAGGATAGGGGTAAAAACATGTGTAATCAATGGTCTATCAACTTAACAGTCTCGGCTTATTATTCAATCAAGCCTATACACTAAATTCTAATAATTTATACAATAAGCATTATGTTTTCGTGTTCTTCCATATTTGAGATTTCTAGGCATAATTTTTTTCTTTATTCTCTTGATTTTTTATATACCTTCAATTATTTTTTTTTATGAATCTGTGGGATCTTATTCATCAAAAAAGGAGTTTGCTAGCAACACCCTTGCTAGCTAGGGGAATCATAATCAACCTGTTGACATCTATCAAGAACTGCCAAAAACTACCTCTGAAACATCCATAAGCTAATCAACCTAGAAGAGACTCACCCTTTCCCTTCCAAGAACAAACACAAACTCAGTTCTGATTACAGCCAAAACTTCATTCAACCCCCTAACTTTACCCTCATACAATCTGCAGCACCTTTCTCTCCACATCTGACTAACCCATGACTGCCAGATAAGTCTTCCTGCCTCAGCCTCCTCTGTCTGCTTACCATACTTCCCGATGAACCATGAAACCATATCCCCCCAATTTTGGAACACCGGGACCTGCATACAACCTGTAAACAATTTATCAAGTATCTGTCTAGTGAAAGGGCAGAGGGCAAACAGATGCTGCCTACTCTCAACTCCTTCACCACAAAAAACACAGTTCAAGGGTCCTTGAAATCCCCATCGCCGCATTTTGTCTCTTGTTTGTATACTGTCTCTATTAACCAGCCAAGTAATCAACCGATTGCTTGGAATGGCCACACCTTTACAGAGCAATTTCCACCAGACAACCCTCTGCTGGGAAGGTCTTATAAGTTGCCAAACTCTTTTTATAGAGAAACGAGGCATAGGCAAACCATCCAGTAGCAAAACACCATTCCTGCTCGAAATAAAGGGGGCTAGTCCACTTCTGAGCTTTAATATTTTAAGCCAATTCCAGGACCCTTAAGTACAGGTATAAGTCCATAGGCATCTCCCTTTCAATTTGTACTTATGGATCCATGCCACCCACAAAGACCCCTCCTGTAATAAAATCTGCCAGACATGCCTTGCAGCACAAGCACAATTCCAACTACTCATATCCCTAAATCCGAGACCTCCCTCCTTTTTAGGATAAGTAATTTTTTTCCATGCCACATTGGCTCTGAGCTTCACCCCCCTTTCCACTCCCCATATAAAGTTGCTACACAATCTTTCCACCTCTCTAATCACTGCCTTTGGGAGAAGAAAGACAGACATCCAAAACTGATTCAGACTGTAAAGCACAGTACCCACCAACTCAATTCTACCAGCATAAGATAATGACTTTGACTTCCAAGCTGTGATTCTAGCAACTATTTTCTCTATAAGAGGTTTGCAAGCTGATAAACTTAGTTTACCAGCAATCAAAGGCACTCCCAGGTACCTGACAGGGAACTCCCCCAACTTATAACCATATCTATCAGCTCTAATTTGCCTTTCATCATGATGTAACCCTCCAAAATATATTTCACATTTACTAGGATTAGACTTCAGACCAGAAATCTGTCTAAACTGATTCAAAATTCTCTGCAACTCCTGTATCCCATAGTTTGAGGCATCACTTAAGACCAATAGGTCGTCAGCAAAGCAAAGATGAGTGAGGTTTATCCCCTTACACATGGGATGAAAGGGGAATCTCCCAGCAGCAGCTGAGTGGTCAATCAAGCAGGTAAAAACTTCCATGGCTACTGCAAATAGGTAGGGAGACAGAGGGTCTCCCTGCCTAAAACCTTTTTTTGCTGAGAAGTAACCCACAAGTCCACCATTAAAGCACACACACTCAACATTGGGGTACTTACACACATTCTTATCCATGTAATAAATCTCTCAGGGAATCCCATACATTTCAGAACTTGAAAAATGAAGGACCAGTCAACCGAATCAAAAGCTTTCATAAGGTCAATTTTTAAAGCACACCTAGGGGAGATTTTGTTATGAGAATACTTGCTGACCAGTTCATGTGCCATTAGGATGTTTTCACCTATCAATCTCCCTTTAACAAAGGCAGTTTGGTTTTTGCTAATCAGGGCAGGGAGAAGTGGACTTAATCGATTAGCTATAAGCTTAGAAATGCACTTATATAATATGTTGCAGCATGAGATAGGCCTGAAATTCCTCATTTCATCAGGATTAGGAGTCTTGGGAATCAAAGCTAAGATAGTGGCATTCACTTGTCTAGGTAACCTATCCTATTCAAAGCAATATTGGATAGCAGCAGTTACCTCTGAACCAATAACTGGCCAAGCATACGGGAAGAAGGCCGCAGAAAATCCATCTGGACCAGGACTTTTGTCCCCATCCATCTTGAAAATAACTTCTTTGATATGCTCCTCTGTGAAAGAGTCACAAATTCCTTCAGTTTGCTCCACGGTAATCTTCCATTTCAGCAAGCCAGATATATACTCATCTGTTTGAGCTACAACCTCAAGATCATCAACACCAAGAAGCTTCTCATAGAATCTGACTGCTATTTGTGACATCTCATCAACATCTTGGACTTTTTCCCCTTGCTCATTTTTCAGGACTCTTATTGTACTTCTCTTCTGCCTAGTCCTTATGGATCTATAAAAATAAGCTGAGTTTGAGTCTCCTGTTTTCAACCAAGTTTCCCTTGACTTCTAGTGGAGAAATGATTCTTCATCACAGTACAAACCTCTCAATTCCTGCTCCAGCTGAGTCATTTTGGCAAAACTCTCAGGTGAAGGGTTAGACAACGCCTCCTGCTGTATACTATGAACTTCTGCTTCTTTTTCTTTAACCCTTTCCCTTAAGTCCGAAAACTCCTCTCTGTTGAGTTTCCTCAGCATATTCTTCAAATTCTTTAACTTCTTACAGACTCTAATGAGAGGATGACCAGTCACCCTATTATGCCACGCTTCTGCCAATAGATCATCAAATTTTGGATGTCTCATCTAGAATTTGAAAAATTTGAACGGCTTTGGCAGAGATTTCATAGAAGCACAAGTGTCAACATATAATGGGCAGTGATCTGATACCCCAGGGGCTTGGATATGAACTTTGTTGTCTTTCACTTTGTCTAACCATTCAAAATTAACAAGCACTCTATCTAGTCTCTTGGCTATTGGATTAGCAGATTGCTTATTCAGCCAGGTAAACCATGGCCCCGTGGCTTGATGCTCTTCCAACTCAAGATCAGTGATCCAACCATTAAACACCATCATTCTAGAGTCCACTGCTGGAGAATTAGATGCTTCTGAAGAATTCCTTACATCATTGAAGTCACCTAAAACAATCCAAGGAGCATTTGCCACCTTAACTCTTCTCAACTCATTGTAAAGTTCCCTTCTATTATTCTCTTCATTTGAAGCATATACCACAGTACCAAAAAACATTTGCATTCCCCCTACCATAAACTGAATAAACTGATTAGAAGCATGTAAAACAGTGAGCTGAATATCGCTTTTCCAGAGTAACCAAATCTTCCCCAGGCCATTTGAGTTGTGTTGTACCCGCTTTCTCCAATCTGGGAATCTCTTCTCAACTAGCTTGTCTGTCTCAGAGGATCTTATTCTAGGTTATAGTATTGCAACTATGTCTATATTATACTTATTTATCTTCTTTAGTATTGCTGTATATTTACCTTCTGCCTTAAACCCTCTCGTATTCTAGGTAAGGAGTTTCATCTCTTACCTCTCCCCTTTCCACCTTTTCCTCCTCCCCTTGGCTGAATAGGCACCAGAGGAGAATCCACCCAAACTCTTTTCCCTTTGTCAATAAGAGGCTGCCTGTTCTCCTTCCCTTTATCCCCCTGAGATGTCTGAGGTCGAAGGCTCCCAGTCATTGGTGACCTACCACTCACAGACATTTGCTCAACAGCAACAGGACTCCCACCTAGAGGTGATGATCCCTTCACTATTTGAGAAAAGCTCAGAGGAGAGCCCCCATTTGAGACAAGGTATGGGGTGGCGTCAGTCTTGACACTGTCAGTAGTCTCACCTGCAGAATCACGCTCATCACCCTTTTTCTCTTGTTCCCTCCCTTCTACAGTGCCAAAGTCATGTTCAGTGTCTAACTAAGCTTCCATCACAGTATATTTTCCTACCTCTATACCTCCCCCAGCTACCTGCCCCTCAACCACTAAGTCCAGCTGTCCACCATTTGCAGTAACTGCTTCTGCAGCCTGTACCTCCCCTCCATCTCCATTCACCATATCTACCTCTCCAACACCCTGAATCTCTGCAGCATTTTGATCCACTCCACTTCCTTTAATTTCACCTGCATCACTTCCCTCAGTTGCCAACCCCGCTTGACCACAATCTATAACAACAGTCTGCACAGTGCCCAACAAGTCAGCTTCCTTAACTCTCCACTGCTGCACAGGCTCCTGCATACAACTATGTCCAAATAACTGACACTTAGAGCACACTTTCGGAAGATGTGAGTATTCCAAACCAATATCAAAAGCAGAATCATTATCAGGGTAGAATCGAGCCTTGTCCGGAAACCCACAGTCAGCTGCAATCTCAACACAAACTTTCGCAAATCCTAGTTGAGCACCTACCCTAGTCTTCTGATCAGTCCAGAGCGGTTTCCCAATCACACTTGCAACCCATTCAACCCCATCACTACCCAGATATTCCAACGGTAATCCTCTAATTGTAACCCAGATCGGCAATGTTTCTACCTGTGGAACTATTGGCTGGATGCCCACTTCCCATTTCCTGAAAAAAAAATGGATTCCCTTTGAAGTGCCACGGTCCCGACGTTAAAACCCACTCACACGAAGAAGGAGAAGGAAATTGAAAAATCAGCATCCGCGGACCAAATCGCGAGACCCTCACGGTGCCATCTCTCCCCCATAGCTTATTCGCCCATGACTAGAGCACTGCAACCTCCGGAAGCTTCCCGACGAACTGCCCCACAAGTGAATCCCGCCATCGTTCAGCGCCCTTCTCCTTAACCTCTTTCGGAATCCTGAAACCATTGTTGACCCTCTCTGGGGGCCTAAAGGTGAGTCTCTTCTCTGGAGCAACAGCAAAGAGACTTGCCCAGGAGGTGGAGCCCTCGCCAGCCGGGGAAGCCGGCGAGGCGGCCATCACCGACTTAGGGTTTCTTCAGAGAACGAAAAGGAGAGAGAAAAGAGAGAGAGAGAGAATTTGAAAGATATGATAAAAAGTCCAACTTCATATCCGATAATAAAAAGTCCACAAATTTCATCTAAGATATGAAAAACTACACAACAGTAAATTAGAAGGACTTGATAAAAAAAGTACATATTAACTAATTATCGGTAATGTCATAATCAGCAAATACCATAAAGATTACTATGAAATAATGAATCAACTATTTTAGAAACCTCAACTTATTTAAAAACAAGAAGAGATTTATCAAAATAAAATTCATACAACCAACGAATCGGGTCAATATTTTAAATATAATTATAAATTAACCAATAAATGATAAAGCGAAACTCATTCGGCTAAAGGCCGAGTAAAAGCTAGTACAAATGATAAATACGAAACGGGATTCAAATCAAAAAATGATTTGTAAAACTGAAAGAGTGAAAAATTAATATTAATTAATATATAAAAGCTTAGGTTTGAGTTACTATTCATTAGTGGCTCTCACACTCCTCCAAGTGCAAGTGAGGAAGTTCTAAGTCCTTCTTTTACCCCACTCTCCATTCTACAACATTTGTGCTTAGTTATTGTTCGCTAGGTTTTTGTCCATGGTTTTTTGAAACGGGATTCAAATAAAAAAATGATTTGTAAAACTGAAAGAGTGAAAAATTAATATATAAAAGCCTAGGTTTAAATTACTATTCATTAGTGGTTCTCACACTCCTCCAAGTGCAAGTGGGGAAGTTCTAAGTCATTCTTTTACCCCACTCTCCATTTTACAACCTTTATATTTAGTTATGGTTCGTTAGATTTTCGTCTATGATTTTTTCAAACGAGATTCAATAAAAAAAATGATTTGTAAAACTGAAAGAGTGAAAAATGATATAAAAGAATTGAACAAAAAGCGCTACAGCTGGGACACGAACCCCCCATGCTCGGAGCAGCCCACAATATAAAAGCTGTGTAGTGTGTACCAAGGCAACTACTTTTAGTTCCACAATATATTCCATGCAAAAATCTCCCTTCCCCTTGTGTTACAATTTTGGAATTTGTCCTGGTTTTCCAGTGATGTGTACCCTTCTCGCATACTCGTTGATGGAATGAATGAACGCATCCTTCTTTGACAGCATAAGAAAACAAAGGAATACAAAGGCAGTTAAGTCATGTCAATCAGCGAACATAAAATAGATCGTTGTTAAATGGTAGGAGCCCAATATTAGTCATGGTAACTTGCTTTTGAAGGCAATAGTTTTGACGTCTCACGTAATGTTATATCTCACATAAATAGCCAAGTTAATTGAATATGGTCACTAGATAAGTCACACCAGAACATGATAAAGGAAGGCAGGCGGCAGGCGGCAGGCGAAACTAATGATAATGGTTATCTCTGATCCCTACCTTTCGAGAAAGAAACGTGCTATACAGTTTTTGTAATTATGTTTCCTTTTTTGTTTGGCACTGAAGCAACTGCGATGAGCTTGTTAACTGGTGTCCTAACTCCATCTGCCTTAATTGAATATACCTAGTTATTTAACAATTTATCAAGGTTGTCAACTTGCGGGTTGACCCTTCATCCGGTCGAGCTAGTGGGTCAAGAGTTAACGGTCATTCGTTTTAGTCCAAAAACATGAAAAAATTCATTATATTATACTTATCCTGATAAATTATATCAAATCTCATCTAACATATGAGTAATAACATATAAGATTACACCAAAGTAACATGTCGTACTTAGATCCAACATATAGTGAAAATTCACACACTTATATAACATCAATATTCAAATGTTCAACTAAGGATTCCAAAGATTGGGTTAGGCGAAAAGAAAAATCGGAAAATAGGCGCATTTCACAAACCAATGAAAAAAAAATGACACAATTTGACCTCCAACCCGATGCCTTGTAGCGGTCGACCCAATGGGTGCGTGCGACCCATTTTTCTCACCGGATCAGGGACAAACTGGGTCGACCCGCGGGCTGAAAACCTTGCAATTTATCTTTAACACGAAGAACTTAATTGAAAACCAAATTTGTTGTCGTTACGGTTGGCTCAAGTACATATATCATACATATAGTAATAAATTTATCTATTTGTTCATTTTCAGCACTGTAGCTAGAATTCTAAAATGGGGATAAAAATATTTGAAACTTAATAATATAGTAAGATGCATTAAAGTCTTGCTTACTATTTTATTTTTCAAATTTGTTACAATATCACATATCTTCCTAATTATAATTTGAAAATTTTAGGAGAGCAATAGTTGTGTCACTGCCACATTCAATAAAATATTGGTGCTTAGTACTCAAACTTAAATTATTTGCTTTAGTTTCACTTCTTTGGAAAAAATATGTATTTATAAATGTTGTTAACTTTTGGGACGGATAAGGTAAGGATTAGATAAAAGTGAGACTATTGGATTAAGATTATTGTCCCGAGTAGGTCTAGTAAGCACCTGCACATAACAAGATAATGTAAGGAGATGAACACAACATAAGATGTTATGTTAATCAAGTTTAACTTATTACTTATGTCTCGGTTCAAATGTGGCTTACCCTTTGAAACCTAGTGTCTAGCTTTTGATTTTATTTCAATATAACTCCAATTGAGTTCCTTTAGGAGGGACTCAAACCCTTGATATAATTATTTCTCTCTTCTTCGCAAGCGCTCACACTAAGGAAAGAAACTACGGTAGCTCACAATCACTTAAGCAAAATAGAGAATGATCACTTATTGCTTCTCACACCTACCAATAATCACAAAGTGTTTGATCTTACTTTGTATATAATTACTCTGCCACATTCCATGCTTTTTCCTCGATGATTTCCCAGCTTTTAGAGGTAACGATCCTCTCGTTGTCTTCCTCTAATTTGCGGATTTTCCCGCGATCACAAATATCCAACTACGGCAAGTAATAATGATTTAAACTTATTTATTCCAAACCTACCTTTGTAAATGTTGTGTGTAGAAATGGAAAGATTTTTCCCAACACATAATAGTTAATAAACAAGAAGTTAGAGTCAGAGTTCTTAACTCTCATTTTGATTAGTTATGACTTATCACGGGGACGAGATACGGTGACAATCCCTAAGGGGTTGTCAGATTTACAACTCACTTCATAGCCCTTGGATACGCTCTCTCTCCTGTCTCTTTCTTCTTTTTTTAAATTAACGGTTAAGATTAAAGGAAGGATATTTTTGGAAGGCTAAAAATTTACCACACTCAATCATTCACCCTACCATATAAAAAGAACAAAAAGCCTAACTCCTCCATCCTCCCTCTCTCTCTCCTCCCTCTCTCCCATAGACATCACCATCTCTCCTCCCCCTCTCTCCGCCGCCACAGCCCTCCCACCACCGCAGCTCCCTCTTCCTCTCCCATGCCCACCGCCACCCCTGACCTCCGCCGCGCCGGCTGTCCTCACCGCCCTGCCGCGCCGCTGTCCCCGCCGCTCCTGCCGCGATACGCTGCCCATAAGCTTACCGTCGTGCCACGCTGACCCCGCCACCATTTTTATGTCGCCGCCGCCGCGAGGTCAAGACTCTTCCCTGCCTCCCTCTTTCCTCATCCCTATTTTTTTTCAGATCTGATTTTTTGTTTTAGTCTCTAATGGTACCAATACCACTGGTAGCGCTATTGGTACGCTACCACTACTCACTAGTACCAATACCAGTGGCTCCCCTATCATTCTGGTACCACTATCATCTGTTTTTGTTTGTTATTCTCTACTGGTACCGCTACCAATTTGGTAGTGGTAGCGTTGTACTGGTAGCGTACCACTAGTACTGATACATTTTTTATTGGTACCGCTAGTACTGGTACATTTTTTAACGTACTGGTAGCGTACCACTAGCACTGGTATATTAATTACCAGTAGACTAATAGATTGGTACACTTTTTAATGCACTGGTACATTTTTTCAGGTTGCCGGAGGGAGTCTGCCGGAGAGAATTCGCCGGAGAAAAAGTTTGTCGGTCGATGCGGAGTGGCCGCTGGAGAAAGGAAGAGAGAGAGATAGATAGAGATACTAATGTATAGGATTTAAATTTCAAAAAAATTGTATTTAATATGGGTTCTTAATTCCCAATATAATTAATACAAAAGAGGGAATTAATATATTCTTTTTTTTCATACCCAAAATACCCTTGGTTGTGAATCTGACAACCCCCTTAAGGGTTGTCACCGTATCTCATCCCCAAAGCGTTAAATTCCACATTATTCAATATCAATCATGAGCTCCAGTGAGAATTTCAAAAGCAACAGCTCCATGGGAAGCTATTGATGATGACGATAATAGTACAAGTCTCATGTCGATCTATGAACTCTGTAATCTTATGGGCCTTACCAGATTTTGTTCGGTGATGTTTTAACATCATACAACTATGGTGAATGGGTAATGGACTTGAACGACTCATTGATAGCAAAGAACTTTCCTTTGTGGATATGAGGACCAGAGTTTTGGAAAAGATGAGGACCGGTCGAAAAGACCGAACCGAAATATAATTCGGTTTGAAATCGGTTTGCTCTTTGACTGTTTCGGAAATACCGGTAATTATCTTTTCGGTTCGGTTATCGAACCGACCGAATGCCCACCCCTACTTTTCGAGGTTTCAACTTGATTACTTGGTGTTCTCATGGTGGAGGCATCTTTGTCACTCGTGTCCTTTTATGGAGGAGAACCCAAATCTAGACGGTGATAGGAGAAACTAAACCTGAGGATATGGGGGGTGTGTGTGTTTTCCAGTGGGTGAAGGGAGGTGGGAGCCGATTTTGGAGGGTTCTTGGCGGTGGCCATTTAATGATTTGGTGTTGTGGGCGGTGACGAAAAGATAAGGGGGAAAAAGAAATTGGTTGAAGGGAAGACTCTGTCTTTTTAAAAAAAATTTGACATGCCATTAAGTTAACGATCCATTTAACAGTTTGGTTTGTCACTTCACCAAAAACTTATGGAGATTGAAGGCCACTAGCCAGTGACTAGTGCTGAAATGAATCGCAAAGTTAGTGATGAAAAAGAAAAAAAAAGTACTTTGGATGACAAACATACAAGATTTATATAATTTGAATGATATTTAATTTAGAAAAAAAGTTGTACTTTGGTTTGGATGGAACATTCTCAAAATGGGGTAATTTGAGACAAAAGTCTCATTTTAGAAAATGAGCTAATTGTACGAGGAAATGTTTACACAATTGTCTTGTTTGGCTTGTGATTTGGCATCAGACAATTGTGATGAGACATTTTATGAAAAATACATATTTGTGATCATTCTTTTACCCTTCTCCATCTTGGGAAAGGAAGAAAGAAAAAAGAAATTAAATAAAAGGGGTCATATTGGGAAAAGTGACCCACAAAATGGTGCAGTGTAGATTACCTCCCTCCCACCCAAGTAATTGACATTGACCCATAAGACTAACTCCAACCCAAAAGGTTATATTTAGCCTCTCAAGCTCTCAAATGTGCATTTTTACCTTCCAAAAACACTTTTTTGCTCCAACCCTAAACCTTCTAAATTTGTCTTCCCAACTCATAACCAACCAATCAAAAATTAAGAAAGTAAAAAAAAAAAGATGCTGGAAAGTGGAGGGCCTGTGGGCTTGGGTTTCATGGTTGGTCCCCCACCTTCTCCTTGCATTTTTCCATATCAGCTTCTATCTATCCACCCCCAAGCCCACTTCTCCAAATTTGCAAGCCAAATAATTGGTGGGTTGGAGATGAAAAAAGCCAAAAACCTCCCTTTCTCCAAATTTGCATGCTTGGGTTGGAGACAGTCTAATAAAGCAATTCCAGTTGCCTCATGTCTAATTGCCTCATTCTTACTTTTTGCCGCCAAATAGGATAATTTGGCCCAATTATCTTATTTTGAGTCAATTGAGACACATTGACTCATCATTTTTATCCATCCAAACTACCCTAAATGAGAAAAACCCTACTTCCTCATCTCCACTTTGCTCTTCCTTTCTTTTAGCCACTCTGATAGTAGCATACGCATACCCGACTGTATTGGTTTTATGTATAGGTGTCAATCGGGCGGGTTCGGGCGGGTTCGGGCTGGGTTCAATCGGGTTCGGGTTCAAACGGGTTGCGGGTTCATCGGGTTGCGGGTTTATCGGGTTCGGGTTCATCGGGTTCGGGTTCAAACGGGTTGCGGGTTAGTCGGGTTGCGGGTTCATCGGGTTCGGGTTCAATCGGGTTGCGGACAAATCGGGTTACGGGTTCATTGGGTTTGAGTCAGGCGGGTTGCGGGCGGATCGGGTTGCGGGTTGTTCGGGTCAGCGCATCGAGTAACTTACTCCTTACTTGTTACTTGTTACCAACTTACACATTTTATTACACTAATTTAAAATATTTAATTTTGTCAATTTTTAACCGATTTCTTTCTACCTCTTATATATACTTAATTTTAAAAAAACTAGTCAAAATGTTTAATCAATTTATATGACTTGCAAACTTGTTATGTAATTAATCATAATTGGTAAAGTACACTAGCTAATAGTAATGGTTTTATCAACATTTGCAACCAAAAGACACCATTAATGTTATTTAGTATTTTAATATTATTTCAGTAGTAATTGGATTATAATATCTCGTTTAGAATAACCATGTAAAATTGTTGTTACTTCAATCATAATTTACTCAATAACATATATCATATACACTTAGCCTTACTCTCAATCGACAATATTAAGTTAATATATGTTGTTGATCGTACACCCTAAACCATCAATATATTATACACTAACAACATACCCTATACCCTAACCATATATCCCTATGAGTTGTGATTTGGTAGTATAGTTAATTTGAAGTGAAATTCATACTTTTATTTTCAAAACATAGATAAAAAAGTGATATTTGCCGTAACCATATATCCTATACTCTACACCATATACCATATACCTTGTATCCTAACCACGTACCATAAACATAAATTAAAAAGGGATCTCTTGATGTTAAATATTTTAAATGACTTCAAGTGAACATATGTTATTAAAAAATTTAGAACCGTCAAAACCATCACTACATTATACCCTAACTATATACACTCTAAACCATCTGTACCTTATGCCCTATACCCTGACTATATATTTTATACCCTAAACAATGAAACGTCAAAAATTACTTATCAAGTTTAGTACAATTGTTGGCTCATCAATACATTATACACTACCCACATACCCTATACTCTAACCATATGTCCTTGAGTTATGATTTTGTTAGTATAGTTAATTTAAAAGTGAAATTCATACTTTGATTTTCAAAACATAGATAAAAAGTGATATTTGCTAATTGTTATATCCTAACCATATATCCTATACTTTACACCACATACCTTGTACCGTAGCCACGTACCATAAACATAAATTGAAAAGGGATCTCCTGCCGTTAAAGACTTCAAATGACTTCAAGTGAACATATGTTAATAAAAAACTTAGAACCGTCAAAACCATCAATTCTTATACACTAACCATATACACCCTACCCTGACCATATACTTTATACTTATTTCATTTTCATAATCAAAAGAACCAAACTTTCCCACTTCATTACAGGAAAACTGATTTTCAGTCACAGTAACTTATTCACGGTAAGTTTTCCCGTACTAAGACGTATACTACTAGTCACAGGAAAAATTACAGTAATTGATTATATAGTTCTAATCACGGGAATAGATTTCAAGTTTTTTAGTTTTCATTTTCCGTGATTAATTGTTTAGTCACAATTAATTACCGTGACAATATCATAATTTACTTTTGCAAATTTTCTTAAAAATAAAGAAAGAGTGAAAATAAAAAAGAATTTCATATCATAAGACAATAAATTTCAGCTCCCTTACTAATAAAAAGAGTATTTATAATCGATGTAATTTATCTTCCTTTTGATCACACAACTCAATAATTGACATCCAATAAACACTTACAGCTCGGTTCTAAGTATTTATAATTCTCGTTAAATTTGGAATTCCATTATTTTTGCAAACAAAAAATTAGTGGACAACAATTCGGGTCTCTCACATTTGTTTCCCGCTCCACAATTCCAAAGTTTGACTAAAAAAAGTTTGGCTCCACAATCCCAAAATTTGCCTCCAGAATTAGATGGCTCCAAAATTCCAAATTTTGACTCCAAAGAAATTTGGCTCCACAATTCTAAATCTTGCCTCCAAAAAAAGATGGCTCCACAATTATGAAATTTTGGCTCTCCTGCTCCCGCAATTACATTTATCAAGAAAAAACATATCTCCTCCGTCCTCTCTAGCCAGTAGCCACACAGCCACACTTCATTCGTTCTCAATAAAAATTGTTTGGAGACAATGATAGAAAACAATGATCTCAATTATTAATTCTTCATTATTAATATTGACATTATGTTGATTTTATATTTACTTTTTTAATTTTGTTAAAGAACTTAGTGTTCAAGTGACCTTCATGTTTCAATTTTGTAATTTTCTTAAAATACATAATACCAAGTGAGTTTCATATTTTTTAAATTTCCTATACGAAATGAAAAAATAATTTTACCTAAGTTTAGAATGAAAACCTTTATTTTGAAAAACTATGTATTGTATATTATAATAATTATTCAAGTGGATTAGATGAAGTTCGGGTTGAGTCGGTCGGGTTACGGGTTAGTCGGGTTCGGGTCAATCGGGTTCGGGTTAATCGGGTTGCGGGTCAGTCGGGTTGCAGGTCAATCGGGTTCGGGTTAATCGGGTTGCGGGTTAGTTGGGTTGCGGGTCAATCGGGTTGCGGGTCAACCGGATTGCGGGTCGTTGACTTTTAGTCAATTCGGGTTGCGGGCGGGTTGCGGGTCGGGTTGATCGGGCGGGTTAATCGGGTCGGGCTATGTTTTGACACCTATAGTTTTATGCAGTAGTAGTACTAGTAAGTAAATATCAATCTATCTGTTTTGACTCCTTTATATTTTTCCTTCCCTTTCCATTTCGTAGGCATATGTCCATGTCTGCCTGTCTCCCTTCCGTCTCTGTCCGCTTTTTCTTTCTCTTCTCTCTCTCACTATATCGCCTCTGATCTCAACACACAAACGAACAAACTCCACCCCTGCTCTTCCGTCTTTCTTTCTCTCAGAGCCCAGAAATATGTCAGCTCCATTCTAGCATTTGCTCCCCGCCGCTGTCTGCAGTCCCTTTGCCAAAGAACTCGACTTCGGGAAACAAACGAGAAACAGAGCCTTCCCAAGCATTCAATCATGGGTTCCCAATCCAAGTGAGTCACTTCCACATTCGTCCTGCTCTCTGTTCCAACTCTTCTTTTATGTTGCCTAGATCTGCTGCCGGTGAATTAGGGTGAGAAGTTGCGATTGGGCGGTTTCTTTTTGTCGGATCTGCTCGCTTTTTAGTGAACTGTTACTTCCCCAAGTTTGCGTCTTTCTTGGGTCAAGCACGCCTTTTGACTTGGGAATTTGATATGGGTCCTTTTTTTTTTGTTTTGTTTTGTTGCTATTTTGGATCGGTGGGAATGTGCAATTAGTAAACAAAAGATGGATTTTTTTATCCAGTTGGTGAAATGTGTTATGCCTTGCGGTTTGATTTCATGGTGTTTGTTGAATATCTGTGTGAAGTTGGTTTGTGGGTGATATAATGAGGGTGTTTCTTTGCACATGATTAAGCTAATCGGTTGATGCTGTCTTTTGTCTTTGTGGGATTGGATTAGAACTGGGTTGTTTCAAACTCCCACCAAGCCATCACCAGCAACTCCTAGAGTGAGTAAACTCAACAGGGGAGCAACTAAATCAGACGCTGATTCGCCTTCTCCCTTGCAGAGTTCACGCCTCTCCCTGGACCGCTCATCCCCTGGATCTGCCAATTCCAAGCCCACTGCTAATTCTGCTATTCGCAGGCCAGCCAAGGCTGCCACACCACCTGAAGTAAGTCCTGAATTTCTCGTTTGCCAAGTTCTGTTCTGCTGTGCTTGAATGCAAGTTGTAGACTCTTGTCGATGAAATTTCTGATCTGAATTTTAATTTGGATGTTAAATTGCCAGAAACCACAGGCTCGTGGGGTGCCCGTGAAGGGATCAGAACTGCAGGCTCAATTGAGTGCGCTTCAGGAAGATCTAAAGAAAGCCAAAGAGCAGATCTCGGCGATCGAGAAGGAGAAGGATCAAGCAGTTAACGAGCTGAAAAATGCTCAGAAGGCAGCTGAAGAGGCAAATGGTAAGCTACAAGAGGCTTTGGTGGCTCAGAAGCAAGCCGAAGAGGATTCGGAGATTGAGAAGTTCCGTGCCCTTGAGCTAGAGCATGCTGGGATTGAGGCTGTAACAGTGAAGGAACACGAATTGCAGAAGGAGATCGAGTCCGTGAGGGACCAACATGCACTGGATGTTGCTACCCTTTTATCCACTACTCAGGAGCTACAGAGATTGAAGCAAGAGCTTGTAATGACGACGGATGCTAAAAACCAGGCACTTAGTCATGCTGATGATGCTACCAAGATTGCAGAGATTCATGCAGAGAAGATGGAGATTCTTTCAACCGAGTTGAACCGATTGAGAGGTTTGCTTGATGCCAAGGTTGAGAACGCAGCCAGTGAGAGTAATAAGATAGTGTTGGAGCTCAAGGAAGAGATAAATTCTTTGAGACACGAGCTTGAGAAAGCGAAAGCTTTTGAGGGTAAGTTGATGGAGAAAGAGTGTATTATAGAACAGCTCAATGTTGAGGTGGAAGCTGCTAAAATGGCAGAGTCTTATGCACACAGTCTAGCTGAGGAATGGAAGGTTAGGGTTGAGGAGTTGGAGTCTCAAGTTGCTGAAGCAAACAAGCTAGAGAGGTCTGCATCAGAATCTCTGTGTTCAGTCATGAAACAGCTCGAAGGCAACAATGATATGCTGCATGATGCAGAGACTGCGATCATGGGTCTGAAGGAGAAAGTGGGACTTTTGGAAATGACGATATCGAGGCAGAAAGGAGATCTTGATGAGTCAGAACAGCGTGCCAGCCTTGCACAAGAAGAAGCATCAGGAATGGTGAAGGCGGTTGAGTCTCTCAAGTCAGAGCTGGAAACAGTGAAGGAAGAGAAGATACAGGCCCTTAACAATGAGAAGCTTGCTGCCTCTAGTGTTGAAGGCCTGTTAGAAGAGAAGAACCAACTCATAACTGAACTAGAGAGCTACAAGGAAGAGGAGGAAAAGACCAAGCGGGCGATGGAGAGTTTAGCATCAGCTTTACATGAAGTGTCTGCTGAAGCCAAGGAAGCCAAAGAGAAACTGTTGTCTAGTGAAACCGACATTGAAAGCTATGAGGCGCAGATAGAAGATCTTAGATTAGTCCTCAAGTCATCGAACGAGAGATACGAGACCATGATGCATGATGCAAAACACGAGATCAATGTTCTCAAGAGCTCAGTAGAAGAATCCGAGAATGAATTCCAAAAGTCCAAATCTGAGTGGGATATTAAAGAGCAAAACCTCTTGGATTGTATGAAGAAGTCAGGTGAAGAAAACACAGCTCTGGAGAAAGAAATAGACAGGCTGGTCAATGTGCTGAAGCATGCGGAAGAAGAAGCTTGTGCTACAAGGGAAGAAGAGGCTCAGTTGAAGAACAGCTTGAAGGAAGTGGAAGCTGAAGCAGTTATGTTGCAGGAAGCTCTTGGAGAGGCAAAAGCTGAGAGCATGAAACTGAAGGAGAGTTTACTGGACAAAGAGAATGAACTACAGAGCATCCTTCAGGAAAACGATGAGCTCCACACCAGGGATACTGATTCTCTCAAGAGAATTGAGGAGTTGTCCAGGTTGCTCGAGGAAGCTCAGTCCAACAAGCAAAGTGAGGATAATGGTGAGCTTAGTGACAGTGAGAAGGACTATGATCTACTCCCGAAGGTGGTTGAGTTCTCTGAAGAGAATGGACATGTAGGTGAAGAGAAGCCCAAGATGGAGCTTCCAGCCCAGCAGCAGAACCATGAGGGGCCAATGAATGGCAACTCACAGGAAGACAGCAATGGCTCATTGAATGATTCTGCACCTGCTGAAATGTTTTTCGCCACCGAGACGGAGAATGGTGGAGAGAAGGGGAAGAAAGAAGAGCGGACAGATAAAGAAGATGACACTGTTGAAGTGGAGTTCAAGATGTGGGAGAGCTGCAGGATTGAGAAGAAAGAGTTCTCACCGCAGAGAGAGCAGCATGAACAGGAATCATCCTTCAAGGAGGAAGGGGAGTCTAAGGCTGAGGGCGGAGAGAGCTTCGATAAGCTAAATGGGTTGTCCTCAACAGAGAACCCAGATGATGGTGGGAGCTCACCTACCAAGCAGCTGCAGCCAGAGCAGCTGAAGAAAAAGAAGAAACCTTTGCTTCATAAGTTTGGAAACCTGCTCAAGAAGAAGAGCACCAGTGCCAGTCCTACTAATGGTAACACTACTCCCAACCAGTAAAAAATTATAACATGGTCTATAGTAGATGAAGTTTATGGCCTCTGAGTGTTCTGTATCCTCTTTTTTCCTTTCTTTTAATGATCATTTTTTTCCCTTCATTTTTTTATATTTTGAGTTAGTTTCCAGTGTTCACAATGAAGAGAAATGGGGTTTGTAATCATCTTCAGTTTTTTTTTCTTTTTTCCCTTCTTCCTCTGTCTTCTCTCTGTTGTTACTGTGGATCAAAATGGTGGAGAGAAAGTATATTGTATGGAATGGAGATTTTCATTCATGTTTCATCTCTGTTCATAGTTAATCACAGTTGTTCTGTACACAAATTAATGACTTTCAAGTAGGGGTGTCCAGTTCGGTTTTTCGGGTTTACCCGAAACCGACCCGATTATATATATATTCGGGTTTTCGGGTTCGTTTCGGGTTTCGGGTTTTTCGGTTTTGGGTTCGGTTTTGCTTATCGGTTTTTTGGGTTTCGTCTAAAAACCTCCAATGAATAGAACTCAGCCCGTATTCTTAGGCGTTCGGGTTTTTGGGTTTCGGTTTTGCTTTAACCGAACCCGAACCCGATAAGAAATTTTCAGGTTTCGGGTAACCGGACTCGCAAGTCCTTATCGAATTCGGGTTCGGTTTTAGTGATTTTCGGTTTTGGGTTTCGGTTCGAGTAATCGAACCCGAACCAAACCGACACCCCTACTTTCAAGATGCATCCTTAAGCTTCATTTAGTTTCATGTATTAGTATTGGCCTATTGGGTTTCAATAGAATGGTGAGTGTACTTTTTCATATCTTATTTTGGTCTTTCATACATGCACATGCGATTATAGGTGTCAATCGGGCGGGATGTGATTGTAGGTGTCAATAGGGCGGGTTCACTTTGGGTTCAATCGGTTGCGTGTTCATCGGGTTCGGGTTCAAACGGGTTGTGAGTTCATCGGGTTGCGGGTCAGGCGGGTTGCGAACGGATCGGATTGTGGGTAGTTCAGGTCAGCGCATCGAGTAACTTACTCCTTACTAGTTACCAACTTACACATTTTATTATTTTAAAATATTTTTCTCAAATTTTAACCAATTTCTTTCTACCTCGTTTATATACTTTATTTAAAATAAAAAATTAGTCAAAATGTTGAATCAATTTGTATGACTTGCAAACTTGTTATGTAATTAATCATAATTGGTAAAGTACACTAGCTAATAGTAATGATGATATCAAAATTTGCAACCAAAAGACACCATTAATGGTTTATTTGGTATTTTAGTATTACTAGCATCGGGCCCGGCCTGTTGGTCGGGTGTTTGATTATTGTGTTTTTGTATGTGTTGCTACTACTTATAATACGTGCAAATAATAGCAAAGATATGCAATGATTAGCTACATATATGTTCACAAAGAAAGTATTTATCATTTATTTTTTATATTGTTCGATATATTCATGAAAATATTTTCCAGTATTTATCATATTTGTTAATCACAACACCTGTTATAGATATGTAATTGTAAGATTTGAAACGGCAGGTTACGGATGGATAATAATAAATGAAGTACCTAAATTGCTAGTTTCAAATTTGATATTTTGTCGCGTAAGTTCCAAATTACTTAACCATCAACCATACATTATCCTAAATCACAACATTAAGTAATTAACCCTAAAACTAACCTCAACCCTTAACCATAATTCCATAACCCAAACATGCAAACAATGAACTCTTAACCATGACCCTATACGGCTATACCCTATACTATAGTTATATTTTATGAAATTGTTGGAATAAGCTACAATGTATGTTATGTGAAGAATGTAAGTTGAGTCAATTTTATATTTGGTTATTGAGAAGAACATATGTCTTATGACTCCAAACTCTAAACCACGAGTCCACTACCGTATACCCTATGCACTAACCTTAAACCATGAACTATAGTTATGTTTTATGAAATTGTTGGTTATTGAGAAGAACATATGCCCTACGACTCCAAACGTTTAATATCCATATTTAATGAAATGAATTATTAACTTTACTATTTTTACATATTGATTTATTTATAAAAGTAATTAGTTTTATATATTTATAACTATTAACGTACTACTAAACGTAACATTACCTAAGAGACGAAGTATAATACCCGTAAGTATTTTATACGTAACTTTCTCGTACCATATTTTACTAACTATGCTATACATTAAGTGAATTTTATGTATTATTAACTTTACTATTTTTACAGATTGATTTATTTATAAAAGTAATTAGTTTTATATATTTATTACTATTAACGTACTATTAAACGTAGCATTACCTAAGAGACGAAGTATAATACCCATAACTATTTTATACGTAACTTTCTCGTACCATATTTTACTAACTATGTTATACATTAAGTGAATTTTATGTATAAGTTGACATACAAAAACATTAAGTGAATTTTATGTATAAGTTGACATACAAAAACATGTTAAAAAAATATGTCTCTACTGGGCTTTGAACCGTGACCCTCGGTTGGGAAAGACCAGCACAAAAACCAGATAGTCCACGTAATTGATTTGTTACAAGTTGAACTTGTTGTTTATTTGATTCAACTAAAAGGCAGAGAGACCATAAAGTATTACGTGATTCAATTTACCGAGACAGTGAGACTATTATGTGATTCAATTTAATGACAGTTGTCATTTGTCAACACAAAGTAAACCTTTGTTCTTGGTGGGAAAGATGAAAAAATAATAGGGCAAGTCAAGTAAACTTTATATATATTATTTACGTATAATATTTATGCACAAAAATATATTATGTAGTATTATTAGTGACAATCGGGCGGGTTCGGGTTGGGTTAATTGGGTTCGGGTTAGTCGGGTTACGGGCCAAGCGGGTTGCGGGTCAATCGGGTTAGCATCAAGCGGGTTGCGGGTTACGCGGGTTGCGGGTCAAGCGGATTGCGGGTCGGGCGGGTTGCGGGTCTTTGACTTTTAGTCCAATCGGATTGCGGGCGGATCGGGTTGGTTGGGCGGGTTACTCGGGTCGGGTCATGTTTTGACACCTATACTAGCTACCATGACTTGTCGGATTGAATGAAGTCGTGATGCGTAGGTGGTTGTGAACCTCAGAGGTGAGCAACTAGTGATCAATCTGTCACTGCATCAATTCACTAGAGATCGATTTGTCACAGGATCGATCCACTCACCAGATCTAGGGGAACCACTACGAGGAGCAACTAGTGATCCATTTGTCACTGGATGGATTCACTTGAGGTCGATTTGTCACGGGATCGATCCTCTCACTCAGTCACTAGTGGTTTCCTAGGTCTCTCCCTCAAACTGGAGTTTGAGCGGCTTAATCACAACCAACCTAGATGGGCACGATAATCGCCAAACCGCAGAGGGATGCTTATGTGATCAGAGACCACAATCTCAATTGCTAAACCGAGGTAAGGATGAAAGGCCGTGTCGCTCGATTGTACGTGGGCACCGGGCCGTGTTGCACACAGGCTAGCACGGCACGACACGATTAGAGCACGACATGAGCACAGGCACGAAATAAATGGGCCAGCCCGACACGAGAACGAATAATTTATGGACCGTGTCGGGCCTAAACTTCATGGGCACGGGCACATGGCGGTATATAAGTGGGCCGTGTCGGGCCTAATATTTTCGAGACTTTATGGAGTATAAGAACGAACATGGCACGAAAATAATATTTATTTGATAGAAAATAAATATAAAAAGAATTATAGGTTCAAATATTACGAAACACAAGTAGAAAAACAATTATTTGTTGTTGTTAGAAGTGTCATAAAGATATATATGTAATTACTAACATAAGTAAAAAATGGACAAATAATTAAACAAAGCCAAATCACACTCGCTATACTTCCAATTTTCTTTTCCCCCTATTTGTTACTTTTCTCAAACATAATCGGTTAATACTATATTCCTCTACCCAATTTTCACCTTTTTCATTCTCTCTTTTTTTTTTGTCCTTTTCATTAAACACAAATACGAGTATGGCACGAGAACGAATAGGCACGGCACGATTCGAACTGTGCCCGGGCCTAGCAAAGTTAACAAATGGGCTTGCATGGCACGACACGAAAACTGATGGGCCGTGTCAAGCACGACACGAAATAAATGGGCCCAAAGCGTGCTTGTGCCGTGCCGGCCCAAGCATGGCCCAACACCCATGTACACACTCGGCCCTCTCAGTTTAGACAATCGGTAATTGACTTACTCCCTCACTCAACTCTAAGGTCGGACGGGTTAATCACGATTAATCGGTTTGCTTAATTCAATATTGAGGGATGCCCTAATTTAACCTAGTTTAGGTGGCTTAGAAAGTGGAAGGAAAACCAACTCGATTGAGTCTCCCTTGGAGGGGGGATTTTCCTCTCTAAGCTAGGCTAAGGTGGCTAATTAGATTGCTAGCACCTACATGCACAAACCTAAGGGTGCTAAGCACAAAACATGCACAACCTCTAAGTTGCTAAGCACGAGAATGCACAATCACCATGAAAATACCTCAAATACTCAAATTGATGCAAACCCACACTTAATCATTCAATCTAAACAAGTTATTACAAAGTAGTAGTTAGGGATCTACAACACCCAAGAGAAAAGAGTGAGTTTCTAGAGAGAGAGAGATTACAAATTTTAGCTCAAGATCTTCTTCTTCTTCTAGGCTTGAATCTTCCACCCAAGCCTCCAATGATGCTCCAAGATCATTCTAGCACTCTCTCCCTCTCACTAGAACTCCCTTTTGATGTTTAGGTTGAAACCCTAGAGAAAGAAAGAGTTTCTTCTCCAAAAACCAGCTCTCCTTTCTCTCTCTCTGTTGAGTCTTCATATTTTCCCGAAAGCGATCAGTTCATGGAAGCGTTGGCCAGTTCACGGTTGTCAACACCTAAACGCGTCAGTGAACTCAACGTCATCCAAAACGCGCCGCTTCACTCGCCTGGGTTCACGGTCAATGGCCCCAGTTCACGGTCTTAGAGACAGTGAACTGCCTTGTCGTCAGTAACTTCACGAACCTCGCTCGAATGCTTGATGTTCACGGTTTGTGGTCCATGTTCACGGTCTTAGGAGACCGTGAACTGCCTTGTCCGGCCGTGAACTGCCGTTGTTTCCTGGGACGCCTTCACTACACTACTACGAGGCAATTGTCACGGTCTTCGGACTTTTCTTTGGTTTTTGCGCTTTTCGACCTCCAAATATCCCAAAACTCATTCTCGACCCTTCCACACGTGCTAGGATTTGAAAGGTATCAAAACAAGCACAACCTAGCGTGAAATATGTCGAGGAACGATGAAATACTAAGCTAAACGAATAAGAAATGAGGGGTAAAATGTGTACATTTGAGCCCGA